AGGATAGAACAGAATAGAACATAGAATGGAAGGGAAGGGAAGAGAAGAGAAGAGAGGACAGGAGAAGAGAAGAGAAGAGAAGAGATGGGGCTCTTCTCCTTCGTCTTCTTCTTCCTTCTTCAGTTCTTCTTTTCTGACTTCTCATCTTCTCCTTCGTCTTCTTCCTTCTTCAGTTCTTCTTTTCTGACTTCTTCTCATCTTCTCCTTCCTTCTTCAGTTCTTCTTTTCTGACTTCTCATCTTCTCCTTCGTCTTCTTCCTTCTTCAGTTCTTCTTTTCTGACTTCTTCTCATCTTCTCCTTCCTTCTTCAGTTCTTCTTTTCTGACTTCTTCTCATCTTCTCCTTCCTTCTTCAGTTCTTCTTTTCTGACTTCTCATCTTCTCCTTCGTCTTCTTCCTTCTTCAGTTCTTCTTTTCTGACTTCTTCTCATCTTCTCCTTCCTTCTTCAGTTCTTCTTTTCTGACTTCTCATCTTCTCCTTCGTCTTCTTCCTTCTTCAGTTCTTCTTTTCTGACTTCTTCTTCTCATCTTCTCCTTCATCTTCTTCCTTCTTCAGTTCTTCTTTTCTGACTTCTTCTCTTCTCATCTTCTCTTCCTCCTCCATCTTCTTCCTTCTTCTTTTTCTTCTTCTTCTCATCTTCTCCTCCTTCTTCTCCTTCGTCGTCTTCTTCAGTTCTTCCTTTCTGACTTCTTCTCATCTTCTCCTCCTTCTTCTCCTTCGTCTTCTTCCTTCTTCAGTTCTTCCTTTCTGACTTCTTCTTCTTCTTATCTTCTCCTCCTTCTCCTTCATCTTCTTCTTCCTTCTTCAGTTCTTCTTTTCTGACTACTTCTTCTTCTTCTTCTTCTCCTCATCTTCTCCTCCTCCTCCTCTTCCTCCTCCTTCTTCTTCTTCTACTTCTTCAGTTCTTCTTCTTCTTCTTCTTCAGTTCTTCTTCTCCTCCTCCTCCTCCTCCAGCTTTTCAGGGGTTTCCTGGGCGCAAGCATTTCTCCCCAAACCTCCCACCCTTCCTGATGTTATAACCCTTCATTTGTTCGCTCTCTGCCAGCCTCCTCGCCTTTTTCTCGGCCCCGTCTCCAGCCTCCCCTGCCCGGGGCAGCCAATCTGTCTCTTCCACCAGGAGATGCCATATTTCTCCACGTTATTACGACTGTGAGGATTATTACTTCTCCCCTGCCTGCTGCCTGCCTCTTGGACCGCGTGTCCGTGCCGAGGCATCAACCCCAGGACCCGGCCATCCATCTTCCCTTAAGGAGAGACAAAGCGGGGCGGGGAGGGGGGGCTGGTTTCTGGGACCCCCTCCAAACTTCTGGGCTATTTTGAGCTGAGCGCCTTGAGGGGCGGTGGGAGGGAAAGAGGCATTTGGGGGCCTAATTAGGCTTGGCGACGGGTGGGGGGGGGCGGTAGGTAGCCGTCCCCCTGCTTGAGCTGCATTTGGGGGGGGGGCGACGAGAGGCAATGGCAGTTTCTCTGGCAGTTCTTAAACCTGTTCGTCCTTCTGCAGGTTGTCGCGTCTTTTGAAGCCACTTGCAACTCCTAAAAACCAAAAAGACGAGAGGGAAGGAGGGGGGGGTGGCGCCGTGGGTTGTGGAGGGGGTTCCTCTCCCCCCCCCCGACTTATCCAAAAGGGACCTCACCTTTGGGTAGACTGCAATAACGACACCTCTCTTTCCTTCCTTCCGTCCCCCCCCCTCTCTCTCCCCTCCACCTCCCTCTTTCTCCACTTGATTAAGGGATAATTTTTAATATATATGCAATAAATGTTCACTTTGTTAGACTGAATGACAGCCTTTAATCACGGGGGGGGGGTGGGTCTCTTTCTCTCCCCATCCATTACGGGCAAATGAGGCTTCGCGGAGGAACCTCTTCGCTTTTGATTCATTTATTTCGCGGGGTTGGGTTTTGATCAAGCAATAACCATTTGGTTAAACTTGACACTCGCTCAAGTTATTGGGGGAGGGTATCAGGCACCCTTCCCGCCGTTAGGGAACGGGGTGGGATTGGGGGGGAGGCAGGGAGGGGGCGGAAGGGAAGAAGACTTCGGAAAGCGCTTCGAAACGGGACGCGGGACCGCTAATCCTCAACTTAACGACCGCCGGGATTTCTTGTCGCTAAGCGAGACATTTGCTAATTTACGAATTTTCTTTTTTTTTTTAATTGAAAATTTTTAAGATTTTACAATACAAAAACAAAACAATTTTCCCCAACCCTCCCCTTCCCTCCCCCGACTATCCCAAAGCTGGATATAGGCTTAATTAGAGTTTCTTCAAAAAATCTTTAAAAAAGTATAAAATATAAATAAATCTAGATACGTTACTTAAAGGAATTACTAAATAATTAACAACAATATATATGTAAAAAAAGAAAAACATAAATACCAGAAAAGAAGAAAAAAAAAGGAAATACATAAAAAATATAAAAAGAAAATTAACTTTTCAATATAAATTATAAAACTATAAACAAATCTAAATACATTACTTAAACAAGTTATAAAATAATTAAAGATAACATATATATAAAAAAAGAGAAATAGAAAAGAGGAAAGAAGAAAATAATAATAAAAAAAAAGTTTGACTTTTCAAGAAAATTGGCTTTTCAATATAAGTTATTAAAAAGCTAAATAATATTTTTTAATATCCATCTTGTGTTGTATAAAATCTATCCATTTCCTCCATACCACAACATACTTCTCTTGAGATTGATCCTTCAGGAAAGCCGAAATCCGCCGGGATTTCTGTCGCTAAGCGAGACATTTGCTAATTTACGAATTTTCTTGCTGCAGTCGTTAAGTGGGTAAGCGAATAACCCGGTTGTTAAGCGAAACCGGCTTCCCCCGTTGACTTTGCTTGTCGGAAGGGCGGTTAACGTGACCGTCGTAAGTACGAGTCGGTGGCCAAGCGTCCGACTTTCGGTCACATGATCCCGGGGGAAGTTGTGACGGTCTCGAAGCGTGAACAGGCGGTCCCAAGTCGCTTTTTTTTCCAGTGCCGTCGTAACTCTGAACGGTCACTAAACGAACTGTCGTAAGTCGAGGAGGTGCCTGTATCGAGTGGACACAATTGATTTATTCTGGTCCTGCTGCGTCTTGGGTGCCCTGTTTGTCTCTGTCTCCGCCCCTCAAAGGGTGGTCCTGGGACCCCCCCTCCCCCCAAAACACCGCCTCCCCCTTCTGAACGGAAGGAAAAGGGATGGGAATCTCCTAATTTAGATTTTTGCGGAATAGATTTCTTACGTCGGAGTCAAGATCTCTGCCCCACGGAACCTGGCGCCACCAAAGACCGCTTCCCCCCCATGGTTCATGTCTTTGCCTGAGGGTCTTTCTTGGGCCTTAGGCCCAAGACCCTCTCCAGCTTGCAAAAAAAAAACAAAAAAAAAACATTTCAGGGTTTTTATTTGCAACCCTTCCCTGCGAGGAAGATTTGAAAATTCTCCTAGCTAGGAAAGAACACACGTGCCCCCCTCGTTTGCCCGGTTTGTGATGTCGTTTCCTGTCGTTGGTTAAGCACAGGTAACACTCTGGCGTGATGGTCACCTTGCCCAGAGTGTCTGTCTGTCCATCTGTCCATCTATCCATCGCTCAGCCTGTCCCTCCTATCCATCTATCCCTCCTATCCTTTTATCCATCCCTCCCTCTGTTTATCCCTCCTATCTCTCCAGCCCTTGTCTGTCCATCTATCCATCCTATCTTTCTATCCATCCATTCATCCATTCATCCATCCCTCCGTCTATCCATCCTCCATGCGTTGCTCTAGGTATCCATCCTATCCTTTTATCCATCCATCCATCCCTCTGTTTATCCATCCTATCTCTCCAGCCCTTCTAGCTGTCTGTCCATCTATCCATCCATCTATCCATCCTACCTTTCTATCCATCCATTCATCCATCCCTCCATCTATCCATCCTCCATGTGTTGCTCTAGGTATCCCTCTTATCCTTTTATCCATCCATCCCTCTGTTTATCCCTCCTATCTCTCCAGCCTTTCTAGCTGTCTGTCCATCTATCCATCCATCTATCCATCCTATCTTTCTACCCATCCATTCATCCATCCCTCCATCTATCCATCCATCCTCCATGCGTTGCTCTAGGTATCCATCCTATCCTTTTATCCATCCGTCCCTCTGTTTATCCCTCCTATCTCTCCAGCCTTTCTAGCTGTCTGTCCATCTCTCCATCCATCTATCCATCCTCCATGCATTGTTCTAGGTATCCCTCCTATCCTTCTATCCATCCGTCCCTCGTTTATCCATCTTATCTCTCCAGCCCTTCTAGCTGTGTGTCCATCTATCCATCCATCTATCCATCCATCTATCCATCCTATTTCTACCCATCCATTCATTTATCCATCCTCCATGCGTTGTTCTAGGTATCCCTCCTATCCTTCTATCCATCCGTCCCTCTGTTTATCCATCTTATCTCTCCAGCCTTTCTAGCTGTCTGTCCATCTATCCATCCATCTATCCATCCTATCTTTCTACCCATCCATTCATCCATCCCTCCATCTATCCATCCTCCATGCGTTGCTCTAGGTATCCATCCTATCCTTTTATCCATCCGTCCCTCTGTTTATCCCTCCTATCTCTCCAGCCTTTCTAGCTGTCTGTCCATCTCTCCATCCATCTATCCATCCTACCCATCCATGCATCCATCCCTCCATCCCTCTCTCCATCTATCCATCCAACGATGTGGTGCTCTCGCTCTCCATCCTGTATTCATTGGGCACCATTGATTTATTCCTGTTCTGCTGCATCTTGGATGCTTGTTCCCGTATTTTAACCCCACCACTGGACTTAACTCCTTAGTAACATCAGCGTAGTAGCCCTGTTGTGTTTTAAACCCTGGGACTGACGAACCAGACAGATTTTGCCCTTTTCAATAGATTTCTTTAATAGATTTCTTTCTATCCAACACTTTGTTCTTTTCTCTAGTTCCATATTTGGGGAACTTATTTCTATATTTCTCCTCCCCCCCCCTTTTTTTTTCCGTCGGAAATCTTATCCTACAGATCCGGTCCTTTGAACTGGGTTAGCTGGCTCTGAATTCAGCCGGATTTCCTTCCCAGAATCTAGGCAGCGAATGCGAAGTAGCCCGGGCGGATCTACTCCGCACGGATTCCGAGGGCGAGGCGCACAGATAGGATCGCTCGCAAAGGTGGAGAAGCTGGAGCGGCCGTGGGAAACGCGGAGCTTTGCCCACCGGCAAGCAAAACAGAAACGGTTGGAGAAAATTAAAAAAAAAAAACTTCCAATAAAGAACGGGGGTCTTAACTTTGGAAGAGTCGGGAAGAGCTCCCCCCCCAAAAAAAATCTCTTTGAAATAAAACTCGTTGGCCTCGCTACCCAGTTCCTGATTTCTTTGCCGGCGTGGGAAAAAAACGCGCCTTTACCCAAAAATAACGTTTGTTCATCCAGTCACAAAAAAACGAAAGTTTCTGTTGATCGGTCTTTCTCGTGTTTAAAAACTACTTTCCGGCATAAATGCCGTTTTTGGGGTACCGGCCTTCCCAGCGGCCTCTCCGGGGAAGCGATTCTGACCACCGTGTGGAACGGATTCGGGTATGGTTAGCAGCAAAGCCCGTTTCAGAAGCTGTTTTTCCCGGCTCTGCTCATCCTAGCCAAGGTCGAATGGCACAAAGGAAGGGCAAAGTCAAGAAGGAGGAGGAGGGGGGGGAGACGGAGAGGGAGAGGAAGGAAGAAGAAGGAAGGAAGGAAGGAAGGAAGAGAGAAACGGAAGGAAGGAAGAAAGAGAGAAACGGAAGGAAGGAAGGAGAGAAAAGGAGGAAGGAAGGAGAGAAAAGGAGGAAGGAAGGAAGGAAGGAAGGGAGAAACGGAAGAGGAGAGAAAAGGAGGAAGGAAGGAAGAGAGAAACGGAAGGAAGGAGAGAAATGGAAGGAAGGAAGGAGAGAAAAGGAGGAAGGAAGGAAGGGAGAAACGGAAGAGGAGAGAAAAGGAGGAAGGAAGGGAGAAATGGAAGGAAGGAAGGAAGGAAGGAGAGAAAAGGAGGAAGGAAGGAAGGAACTGAGAAGGAAGGAAGGAAGGAGGAAACAGGAGAGAAAAGGAGGAAAGGAAGGAAGGAATGAAGGGAGAAACGGAAGAAAGGAAGGAGGAAACAAGGAGAGAAAAGGAGGAAGGAAGGAGGGAAGGAAGGAAGGAGGAGAGAAATGGAAGGAAGGAAGAAAAGAAACGGAAGGAGAGAAAAGGAGGAAGGAAGGAAGGAGAGAGAGAAACGGAAGGAAGGGAGGAAACAGAAGGAGAGAAAAGGAGGAAGGAAGGAAGGAAGGAAGGAGAGAAACGGAAGGAAGGAAGAAAAGAAACGGAAGGAGAGAAAAGGAGGAAGGAAGAAGGGAAGGAAGGAAGGAGGAGAGAAACGGAAGGAAGGGAGGAAACAGAAGGAGAGAAAAGGAGGAAGGAAGGAAGGAAGGAAGGAGAGAAACGGAAGGAGAGAAGAGGAAGGAAAGAGAGAAAAGGAGGAAGGAAGGAAGGAAGGAAGGGAGAAAGGGAAGGAAGGAAGGAAACTGCCTTTGTTTTTATCCGAGAGTAACTAACTCTGCCTTATGGTATTAAAAGGTGAGCAGTTCCGCACAAGCGCTTCTCTTTGTTCTCCCCTCATCCACGCCCGCCACACCCGCGCTCACACTTCAGGGTTGCGGGTGTGCGCCACACACAGCTGAGCACAAATCGGATTAGAGGGTTTCCATTTTTAAAAAAAAAAATGCAAAAGGTTCTCGCGTAAACCCTATTTGGGGGCGCCCACCCCCACCTTCTCCCCCTGGGCAGGCGAGTCCGGTTGATTTCAATGGGGGGGGGGTTCCTCCCGGCTAAGTCCCAACGAAGAAAGACGTTTCTGGAGGAAAAAGGCCGAATTTTGTCCTAAACCCCCCCCCCGCCTCACATTCACACAACCTCTTCCCTCACCTGTTCCTTTGTCTAGCTGGAAAGACACGGGGAGGGGGGGTCCTTCTGCCTCGCCCCCGCCCTTTACACTTGTAACCCTTAACTTCGATCCGCTTCTCCTTCGGAAGCTAAACCGGGGCTCTTAACGCTGCTTTCCGAATTAGCCGGGTTTTCTGGGGTAACGGCTAAACCAGGATCCGCCGAACGAGCTCGGTTCACAACCAGCTAACCAAGATTAAAACTAGCAATGCTAGGTGTCTAAATCGAGGCTGTTTTAAGCTGCCGTCCGAATTAGCCCGTCTTCGGGAGTGACGGGTAAACTAGGATCCGCCTAACCAGCTCGGTTCACACCTAGCTAACCCACGATTAAAACTAGCAATCCTTCCCAGCTGTTCCGCACCCTCAACCTAAGTTAGTCGGGTTAAAAGGTTGCGTGTGGGAATGCAGCCCCCACGTGCAGCTGGGAAGCGAGTTCGCAAAAGGCGCCTGGACGCAGTCTGGATGTCAAGTCCCATAAACCGCAGCCGGCTCAGTCCAAAGCTAATTTGGCCTTCCCTCTCTCCGGTTAGCCGGGAACGATGGGAGTTGAGGTCTTTTGGCTGGCTGGAGGGGGTTACTAAAACCAAAGACGCTCGGAGAACATCCGACTGGCGTGGATTTCCCAGGTTTTTCTCGGATTGACAGACTCCGGGGTCGTGAGAAAGGGGGACAGCTTCAACGTTTCCGGCTTGGGGCTCTCGCCTCCCATCCCCGTAACGCTTCCTCACGGGCCAAAGGTAACTCGGCTGGGTCGCCCTCCCGCCCCACCCCCCCATCCCCCTTTTGCAACGCGAGTTGGACCGTTCAGACTTGGTTTGGGGGACAGAAGATAGGAAATGATGCGCGTACGTGGGAACGTGTCTTAAATGGTCCCCTGTAAGACTTGGGGGGGTTAAACTCTTGCCGAGGTGGGGGAGGCTTTTCTGACCGTCACGCAAGGGGACCTTGGGGGGGGGGGAAGCGCCCGGCCTTGCGCTGGGCAAGGAGCGCTGATCCAACCTGGTTGCGCGCAAAGAAGGCCAGGCAACGGCTAAGATCAGGGGAAGGGGCTGCGCCGGAGTCTCAGGTGGGCGCAAGTGAATTGCCCGAGCAAGGGACCTCTTGCCCCAGCCTCTGTGCATTTCTCTCCCACGGCAGCGGGTCCCATCATCCTTGGCCGGCCGAGCGCCATGGGAACCGGAACCCCTTGGCCGGCGAAGGCCGGAGGGTGGGGGGGGGAGTCTGGAGAGGTGCCTCGGAGCAACGAGCTCAGGGACAGCCGGCCCGGACCCCTCTCGGGCCGGTCCGACTTGGCGGCGGTAGTAGCGCGTGCACAAAGCAGCCTCACTCGGGACTAGTCGCGTGACACGCCCGCGCGAGCACGGCAAATGGAAACACCCTCCGCTCTCTTCCAGGCAAAAGAAGATTCTCAAGAGCCAAAGTCGGTCTCGGAAGAGGCGCCGGTACTTGGGCCCTCGGGGGGGGGGGCTCGCAGACCCCCCGCCGCCTGGACTTTTTTGGACCAGAGCCGGCCGACTTCCCTTGCCCCGAGCCAGCCTGTGTAACGTCTAGACGGGGAGATCCGCGGGACAAGGCGGCCAGCGGCCTCTCCGGTAACGCCAAGCGCTTTTTCCTGGGTCAGAGGCGGCGGCCCTGGGCACGGTGCCCGCCCTGCGCCGGGGACGCGGAGCGGAGCGGCGGGGGTGGAGAGGATGGAGGCGGAAAGGGGGAGCGAGGGAGAAAAGAAAAGAAAGGGAAAGGAAAGGGAAGGAAAAGAAAAAGGAAAGGAAAAGGGCGGCCGTTTGCCAAGTGCCCAGTTTGCATCGGATTCTCTCTCTCCCCCCCCCCTCCATTTTTCTCTCTCTCCAGTGTCTATCTCTTTATCTCTCTCTCTCCCTCTCTCTCTCTCTCTCTCTCTCTTTTTTCTTTCTCTTTCTCTCTCTCTCTCTCTCACTATCTCTGTCGGTATCTATCTATCTCTTTCTTTCTCTTTCTCTCTCTCTTTTTCTTTCTCTCTTTCTCTCTCTCTGTCTCTCCATCTGTTTATCTATCTGTCCATCTCTTTCTCTCTCTCTATCCATCTATCTATCTGTTTCTCTTTCTCTCTCTCTGTCTCTGTCGGTATCTATCTCTTTCTCTTTTTCTTTCTCTCTCTCCCCCTCTCTCTCTCTCCATCTGTTTACCTATCTGTCTATCTCTTTCTCTCTCACTCTTTCTCTCTCTATCCATCTATCTATCTGCTTCTCTTTCTCTCTCTCTCTCTCTCTATCACCTAATCTATCTGTCTCTCTCTTTCTCTCTTTTTCTCTCTCTCTATTTATCCATCTATTTCTTTCTCTCTTTCTCTCTCCATCTGTCTATCTGTCTATCTCTTTCTCTTTCTTTTTCTTTTTCTTTCTCTCTCTTTCTTTTTCTCTTTCTCTCTCTCTCTCTCCGTCTATCTATCTGTCTCTCTTTTTCTTTTTCTTTTTCTTTTTCTTTCTCTTTCTCTCTCTACCATCTAATCTGTCTGTCTGTCTGTCTATCTATCTATCTATCTATCTATCTATCTATCTATCTATCTATCTATCTATCTATCTATCTATCTATCTATCTATCTATCTATCTATCTATCCTGTCTGTCTCTGTCTTCTCCGTTTCTCTCTCTCCCTCCCTCCCTCCTGTCTGTCTGTCCGTCTGTCTATCTAAATCGCAATAAACAACCAGCCATCCCAACTCCCGCGGTGCCTTGACCGGGCCTACATTTTGCCCCCCCCCCCAGGAAAGCCACCAAGAGGGGAAGGAAAGGCCGAGGCTTGCCCGGCGCTGAAGGACGCGAGGCCCCGCCGGTCGCGGGGCTTTTGCGGGGCAACCGCCGCCCGGTTCTTCCATCCCCCCCCTCCCGGGGTGATTTCCATCGGGCGCGCCCTTAAACCCTTTAGCCGGTTCTCGGCGACCCCCAGACTTCGATGAGCCCCATTTTCAGAGCTGGGGGGGGAAAGAAACGGCTTAAAACCACCCCCAAAATCGATCCCCCCAGTATTTGACATCTGGTGTGAACTGGGGGGGGGACGGGTCGGGGTCTTTTTCTGTTCCTTCCTAAACTAGGGGAAGGGGATGCGCTTTTCTTTGAGGACCTGTTTTCCCAAGCGTCAGAATGCGGGGAACCGAGTAGGTTGGCCCTTTCTTCCTATTTGGGAGAAAAAGGGGGCATTCACACGACACCCTGAACCCGGATCCTTACCCAACCACATTTCAGGGTTTCTTTAACTGAGGCTAGCTCGCCGGGAAGAACCCCGAAGGTAATCCCAAAGAAGCAGTCTTTCGAGGGCATCCGCTCAACAGTAGAAG